ATAAATTGTCTTTTTAAAGAAAATTTTAGATAAATTTTCTTTTTATACAACATTTTCGATAAATTTTCTTTTTATACAAAATTTTCAATAAATTTCTTTTTTATAGAAAATTTTCAATAAATTTTCTTTTTATAAAAAATTTTCTTTTTTACAAAATTTTCCTTTTATAGAACATTTTCGATAAATTTTCTTTTTATAGAACAATTTCGATTAACTTTCTCCTTATAGAAAATTTTCGAGAAATATTCTTTTTAAACAGAATTCTCTTTTTATAGAACATTTTTGATAAATTTTTCTATTATAGAACATGTTCCATAAATTTTCTTTTTATAGAACATTTTCGATAAATTTTCTTTTTATAGAACATTTTCGATAAATTTTCTTTTTATAGAACATTTTCGATAAATTTTCTTTTTATAGAACATTTTCGATAAATTTTCTTCTTATAGAATATGTTCGATGAATTTTGTTTTTATAGAACATGTTCGATAAATTTTCTTTTTATAGAACATGTTCCATAAACTTTCTTTTTATAGAACATTTTGGACAAATTTTCTTTTTATAGCACATTTTCGATAAATTTTCCTTTTATAAATTTTTTTTTTTCTATCAATTTTCTTTTTACAGCACATTTTCGATAAATTTTCTTTTTATAGCACATTTTCGATTTCGATAAATTTTCTTTTTATAGAACACTTTCGATAAATTTTCTTTTTATAGAACAACTTCGATAAATTTTCTTTTTATAGAACAATTTTGATAATTTTTTTTTTTATGTTTGATAAATTTTCTTTTTATAGAAAATGTTCGATAAATTTTCTTTTTATAGAAAATGTTCGATAAATTTTCTTTTTATAGAAAATTTTCGATGAATTTTCTTTTTATAGAAAATTTTCGATGAATTTTCTTTTTATAGAAAATTTTCGATGAATTTTCTTTTTATAGAAAATTTTCGATGAATTTTCTTTTTATAGAAAATTTTCGATGAATTTTCTTTTTATAGAAAATTTTCGATGAGTTTTCTTTTTATAGAAAATTTTCGATGAATTTTCTTTTTATAGAAAATTTTCGATGAATTTTCTTTTTATAGAAAATTTTCGATGAATTTTCTTTTTATAGAAAATTTTCGATGAATTTTCTTTTTATAGAAAATTTTCGATGAATTTTCTTTTTATAGAAAATTTTCGATGAATTTTCTTTTTATAGAAAATTTTCGATGAATTTTCTTTTTATAGAAAATTTTCGATGAATTTTCTTTTTATAGAAAATTTTCGATGAATTTTCTTTTTATAGAAAATTTTCGATGAATTTTCTTTTTATAGAAAATTTTCGATGAATTTTCTTTTTATAGAAAATTTTCGATGAATTTTCTTTTTATAGAAAATTTTCGATGAATTTTCTTTTTATAGAAAATTTTCTTTTCGATGAATTTTCTTTTTATAGAAAATTTTCGATGAATTTTCTTTTTATAGAAAATTTTCGATGAATTTTCTTTTTATAGAAAATTTTCGATGAATTTTCTTTTTATAGAAAATTTTCGATGAATTTTCTTTTTATAGAAAATTTTCGATGAATTTTCTTTTTATAGAAAATTTTCGATGAATTTTCTTTTTATAGAAAATTTTCGATGAATTTTCTTTTTATAGAAAATTTTCGATGAATTTTCTTTTTATAGAAAATTTTCGATGAATTTTCTTTTTGTAGAAAATTTTCGATGAATTTTCTTTTTGTAGAAAGTTTTCGATAAATTTTCATTTTATAGAAAGTTTTCGATAAATTTTCATTTTATAGAAAGTTTTCAATAAATTTTCATTTTATAGAAAGTTTTCAATAAATGTTCTTTTTATAGAAAATTTTCAATAAATGTTCTTTTTATAGAAAATTTTCAATAAATTTTCTTTTTATAGAAAATTTTCAATAAATTTTCTTTTTATAGAAAATTTTCAATAAATTTTCTTTTTATAGAAAATTTTCAATAAATTTTCTTTTTATAGAAAATTTTCAATAAATTTTCTTTTTATAGAAAATTTTCAATAAATTTTCTTTTTATAGAAAATTTTCAATAAATTTTCTTTTTATAGAAAATTTTCAATAAATTTTCTTTTTATAGAAAATTTTCAATAAATTTTCTTTTTATAGAAAATTTTCAATAAATTTTCTTTTTATAGAAAATTTTCAATAAATTTTCTTTTTATAGAAAATTTTCAATAAATTTTCTTTTTATAGAAAATTTTCAATAAATTTTCTTTATATAGAAAATTTTCAATAAATTTTCTTTATATAGAAAATTTTCAATAAATTTTCTTTTTATAGAAAATTTTCAATAAATTTTCTTTATATAGAAAATTTTCAATAAATTTTCTTTTTATAGAAAATTTTCAATAAATTTTCTTTTTATAGAAAATTTTCAATAAATTTTCTTTTTATAGAAAATTTTCAATAAATTTTCTTTTTATAGAAAATTTTCAATAAATTTTCTTTTTATAGAAAGTTTTCAATAAATTTTCTTTTTATAGAAAATTTTCAATAAATTTTCTTTTTATAGAAAATTTTCAATAAATTTTCTTTTTATAGAACATTTACGATAAATTTTCTTTTTATAGAACATTTTCGATAAATTTTTTTTTTTTATAGAACATTTTCGATAATTTTTTTTTTTTATAGAACATTTTCGATAAATTTTTTTTTTATAGAAAATTTTCGATAAATTTTCTTTTTATACAAAATTTTCTTTTTTTTACAAAATTTTCCTTTTGTAGAACATTTTCAATAAATTTTCTTTTTATAGCAAATTTTTGATACATTTCTTTTTTATAGCAAATTTTCGATAAATTTTCTTTTTACATAAAATTTCCGATAAATTTTCTTTTTATAAAACATTTTCGATAAATTTTCTTCTTATAGAACATTTTCAATAAACTGTCTTTTTATACAAAATTTTCGATAAATTTTTTTTTATAGAAAATTTTTAATAAATTTTCTTTTTATAAAAAATTTTCGATAAATTTTCTTTTTATAGAACATTTTCGATAAATTTTCTCTTTATAGAACATGTTCCATAAATTTTCTTTTTATAGAACATGTTCGATAAATTTTCTTTTTGTAGAACATGTTCGATAAATTTTCTTTTTGTAGAACATGTTCGATAAACTTTCTTTTTATAGAACATTTTGGACAAATTTTATTTTTATAGAACATTTTCGATAAATGTTCTTTTTATGGAACATTTTCGATAAATAATGTTCTTTTTCTTAGAAAATTTTCGATAAATGTTCATTTTTTAGTAAATTTTTGATAAATGTTCTTTTTTTAGAAAATTTTCGATAAATTTTCTTTTTGTAGAACATTTTCGATAAATTTTCTTTTTATATAGCATTTTCGATAAGTTTTCTTTTTATAGAACATTTTCGATATTTTTTTTTTTTTTTTTTTTTGTAGACAATTTTCGAGAAAAATGCTTTTTAAACAAAATTTTCGATAAATTTTCTTTTTGTGGAAAATTTTTGATTAATTTTTCTCTTATAGAAAATATTCCATAAATTTTCTTTTTATATAAAATTGTCGATAAATTTTCTTTTCATACTTAATTTTCTATTTTAGAAAATATTTCTAAAAAATCTGTCTTCTAAAAAAGCTGTCATCGTTTTTCTCCAATCTCGAATTAAAGGAAATTATATCTTTAATATTTGTTAAATAATAGTTGCATGTGTGGGGAAATCTTTTTATATTTTTATGGTGTTTATTAGTATATGACCCCTCTTCAGTTAGATAAAAAGAATTTTGTACTTTTTAAGTACAGTCTAGCGAAACGTCTACTATATAATCTTATTAATCTCCGGGTACAATTTCGCTTGTCTATAAAGAAATTAGCTGAATAATAAAAGTGAATTGTTTCTAATGTGGAATATATTTTACCAAATAACAGGTTACCAACATTATGATCATTCATAAATTTGTGATCTGTGTTTTAATTTTGCTTGAAAATATCATTAAAATGTTTTTTATAATTATTTTATTCGTTTGTGGTACAAAGTTTTCCACACGCAACATTGGTAAATAGGCTGATTATTATGTACGAGGGTGGATTGGGAGTTTAAATCTTCTTTTCGATTTAAATTAGATAAATTTTTATGGAACCGTGAATAAGTTTGTTTCAAAATATAATTCAATAAGTAGTTTATTTTATTTATAAACATTTGTTTTTAGTATATATATTTAGTAATACTAAACAATTTGAATTGACATGTGAAGAGCTATACGCTGTCAATGTCGCGTAAAATTTAAATAATACTTAAACTCAAACTTTATACATAGTAAGGAAATAGTAAAATATCTTAAATCAATATATAAAATTAATAAAAATCGACTAATAATAAATAGTAATTATTTAGAATAATTAAGGTATTCACAGGTTTTTTAAAGAGGCTTCTTTACAATTAAAAAAAAATATTTTTAAATACATAATTACAAAAATCCTGCTAACGTTACTTCAAAATTGCACCATTTTCGGCAAATGTTTATATGAACTTACTACATATATTATATAAGAAACAATTGTTCAATTCACAATCGATGTTGTAGCGTTGTATGCGTTGTATGTCAGCAGCTGCTACAATAGTCATAACAATGTTGTTGGTATTTTCTATGCAAAAGCTCTATACAACTCCTACGACAATTTTTCATATGTTTTTCGAATGTTGTAAGAAAGTTTAGTGTTGCCAATTGTTTATTTCAACATATAAACAATAAATTCAAACGATTTTAGCATAAAAAAACGATAAAGTGGTAACACTGAAATCAAAACCAAACAGCTGTTTACCAAAACAAAAAAAAACTAAAATTTTATTAAAAATAGTTTATTTATTAGTTTAAAATGTGGAATAAAAAAAATAAAAGAATTGAAAATTCAAAGAAATTAATTTGGTTTATTTCGCAAGTTTAATTAATTTAATATTTTTTGATTTTTTTATACTTTCACATTGTTATGTTAATAATCAAAACAAATGATTATTTTTTTTTCCATTGAGAACATAAACTTATGACTTTCTGCAAAGATCTGTTCACAATCACTGTTACTACACTTTAGTAGGTACAATATACAACTTGATTGTGAATTGAACAAATATAATAATCTTAGGAAATAGCTATTCTTTAAATTCCTGATATATGTATATTTAATAATACTTTTTAACAATTCCTACGTTGTTCTTCCTATCACATTATTTAGTTTTTGCTTAAAGAAACTAATTTTATTACTACTATTTTGTCTAAGACGCTCTTCCGCCAAATTTGTTTTATAAGCATACCATTTGGCTCTTGTTTCGGGATTTGATGGTCCCCAATATTCAGTGGATTTTAGGGAAACGACAAACGACTGTAATTATATCAAGAAATTGATTGTATAAAATCTGGAAATTGGATATAAATTAAAACTTACTGTTAGAAATGATTCCTTATAATGACTTTTAATGTACCAGAGGCCCCACAGGGGGAATTGGAGAATACCAATGATAAATATTATCCAACCGGCAGCTGAAAAAGGAATAATACTTGTTAAATGTACATGCGGTATATGAATTACAAAGACATTAACAGTTTGAGCTTTTTATCATAAAAAGTTGTGAGAAAATTGTTCCCTTATTAGGTATAACATCGAATTGCAAATTTCTGGAATATCGGGAGAGTTTACCATTTTTCAAATGGGCTCCAAAAAGAGTAAGTAAGTAAGTAAGTAAGTAAGTAAGTAAGTAAGTAAGTAAGTAAGTAAGTAAGTAAGTAAGTAAGTAAGTAAGTAAGTAAGTAAGTAAGTAAGTAAGTAAGTAGTAAGTAAGTAAGTAAGTAAGTAAGTAAGTAAGTAAGTAAGTAAGTAAGTAAGTAAGTAAGTAAGTAAGTAAGTAAGTAAGTAAGTAAGTAAGTAAGTAAGTAAGTAAGTAAGTAAGTAAGTAAGTAAGTAAGTAAGTAAGTAAGTAAGTAAGTAAGTAAGTAAGTAAGTAAGTAAGTAAGTAAGTAAGTAAGTAAGTAAGTAAGTAAGTAAGTAAGTAAGTAAGTAAGTAAGTAAGTAAGTAAGTAAGTAAGTAAGTAAGTAAGTAAGTAAGTAAGTAAGTAAGTAAGTAAAGTAAGTAAGTAAGTAAGAAGTAAGTAAGTAAGTAAGAAGTAAGTAAGAAAGTAAGTAAGTAAGTATATAAGTAAGTAAGTACATAAGTTAGTAAGTAAGTAAGTAAGTATGTAAGTAAGTATCTAAATAAGTAAAAAAAACATGAAACCCTATATCAGTTGTGAATATTCTATGTGATAATTTTATGAAAGAAGATTTATATGGGCAAATATTAACCGATCCCGGTATAATTAATATTCATTTGCGTGAATTTCATCGCGATATTACTGTTTACAAGTAAATTGTGGAAGTATAGAATTCTTGGATCAGCACTCAGGGGATGACCCCTGGATTGTGGGAAGGAGGATAGAGAGAGTAGTGTTTGTGGATATTTGATTTAAATCCTCTTACATTGAAAGTGGCAGGAAATACTTCTGCAGGAAGTTTATTCCACATACGAACAGTGCGGTTAAAAAATGAATTTTCCCTGTAGTGTGTTGTGTCGTCCACTGGCCAATACCACAAATAAGTGTGTTCGTGAAGAAAGACGTGTGTTACCCAAGAATATACGGGTTTCGGGAACAAGTTCCCTAATTTCAGAAGAACACGTTCCATTGTAGTATCGATAGAACAGTGAAATACACCCCACCTTACCCTACTATCACCGATAAGTACCTTCGCCCTTGTACTTCCAAAATAGACTTCGAAGTTCCTGCATATATATGAGTTGTATTCTATTTTCGGTCGTATATAAGTGGTGTAAATAGTAAGAAGATTAGATCCCCACTAAAGTGGTATAGGTTATATAAAAAATTCTACACAAATCGACCACGAAGGTTTAAAATTCAATTTCAAAATTACGACCTGTACTTTTGAAAGTTTTTCAACCGAAATCGTATAGTGTTTTGCGATAACCTTTATGTATTATTTTATATGTATATTATTTACCATTTGCTGAATCCGGATAATCAATACCCTTATATGTTAAAGGTTCTATCGTAATTACTGAATATATAAATATAATTGTCATCATAACGGGAGTCAAAAACGACCAGCAGATACGCCAATACATGGAAACCTTTCTGTGGGTCATAAATTCTACATCATCACAGAAATTTTGTAAGCCTATAAAAAGAAAACATATATAAATAACCACTTAATATTTTACAACAAATACTTACCATAAATCCAGATAACACCAACAATTTCAAATATCGCCAAGGCAAATATCACATAAGTACCACCATAGAAATCCACTAAATTTAAGATCCATTGACCGCCCTAAAATTTAAAAAAGTCAAAAATTGTTTAATATATACATCAATATTGAAAACCACTTACCGGTGTCACATAAACCACACCCAATAGAAAACCGCATATGGAAGTTATCAAGGCTACCACCCAATATTTCAAAGATTTATATTGATCACATATTATGGTAACAATTGTACTTTGAAGAGCCACTATTGAGCCCACACCCAAGACAAATAACATAAAAAAGAAAAGTACAGCAAACAATTGCGGTATTGCCTGAAATTTAGCTATAGCATCCGGATAAGAAATAAAAGCTAAAGCGGTGCCACTTTTAACCACCTCCTTTATATTGGTTATATTAAGATTATGAGCTAAATTTCCCAAAATACCGAATATGGTAATACCAGCCAACATACTGGTAACGGTATCCAAACTAGTGACAATCATGGCATCTCTGCAATCAGAATTGGATTAGGAATTTAGATGACTTTTTTAAAAGATGTTTATAAGTAAGAGAACGTTTACCTATAAATCGGATGGTTGAAACGATTGTAAGATGAGAACATTATAATTGGACCACAACCTACAGCTAACGAAAAGAAACATTGCACTACAGCTTCTTTCCAAACCTGTAAAAAGAGGTTATAAATATTTTAGAAATCCAAACTAATTTAAATTTTATTTCAGATATAGGGGCCTGAGACTGTTTAAAGTTTTTTTTCCGATCGAAAGTGGAATAATTGCACTTTCCATCGGAATGGAATTCTGCAACAGGCCCCATAGGGAAATATTCCATTTACCTTCAAATTAAGTAGCTCATTCCATTGGGGATTTAAGAAGAATATAATACCATCAACGGCACCGTCTAATGTAACACTGCGTATTAGCAGGGCAATCAGCACTAAATAGGGAAATATGGCCAGAAAATATGCCGCCTTGCCGGAACTTTTAACGCCCCTACGTATGACCAAGAATATAACTATCCATGAAACAAACAAGGTTAGAGTTAAATATAAATTCGGCATTCCCAAACCATCTGCTATTTGCAATTTTTCTTTGGCAACGATTTCACTGAAAAGAGAGAATTATGTATAAAAGAGTTCTAAATAAAAATTTCAGAGAAATGTTAACATCATAAGTCCAAACGGCCGAAAACAACATTCGTTATCGAAATTCTATCAAAATTAAGTTCAATCTATAATCTCAAAAATTTGATTAACATTAATCGATAACGAATGTGTTGATTCGACCCCAGATCTTAGATTTATTTGGCAAACATACGTAAAATACAACTCTGAACTACTGGTTAATTTATGCGAAGCATTATGATGTTGTATTGCATCTGGTTTTGGTAATGAATCCAAACAATCTAGACCCCATTCTTCTCGGCAATAAGTCCAGGGCAATATTGCTTGGCAAGAGACCACCATATAATACAGCGTAAGAGCAATAAGAGAGGAGTAATAGGTAATAACACACACTGTGCCAAAGGCTTGACCATAGCCAACACCTAAAGAAAAGATGGGTTAAAAAAAGATCTTAAAAAGATTTTATAAAAAATTAAATCACACTCACCCAAAAACGATGGACATATAGACCACACTTTCACCGAACCTTTACTAGAAAATTGTCCCAATATCATTTCCAAATAATACATGGGTTTACCTGTAAATTTATTAATACATTAATAACTTTATAATATTTTAATTGTTTTTTAACTTACCAATAAAGAATAATACCACTAAATAGGGTATAAGAAATGCTCCACCACCATTTTCATAGGCTGTAAAGGGAAAACGCCAGACATTGCCCAAACCCACTGACATCGATATGCAGGACATAAGAAACTCTAGACCATTACCCCAATTGGCTCTTTCTTTACCACCACCTTCTGCATCACCACCGCTATCGACTTTGTCTTCAGACTTTTTTTCATCATTATTAGTGAGCTGTAACAAAGAGCGATTTGAATCAAGTGTAAAACCAATGCTTCTAAATCATAATATATTCTACTTTAATTGTTATGATCCCTTTTATTTTATAGATCCAAATATTTCATAAATTTACCAGACATACATTCGAGTATTCTAATATTAAAAGTAATTAAAATCGGTTCATAAATATACATATGTATATCCCTCGATTTTTGAAAATGTATCTAAATATATATTTCGATCTAAAAAAAAAGAACAATTAATAGTCCAAATCTTATACATCTACCAACACAATCTCCGACTTTTATACAAAATGTTCAAATCTCTGAGATTGTGTTGTGCTTTTTTATTCAATAACTTGATCGGTTCCTACCCTATCTTGGTGTTTTTGCAATCCTGAGTAAAAGAAGTGCTACCAGTACCTTTAGTCTGCGGTCTTTTACTTAGAATGATCTGAGATGTGGCCAGAGAACCACATAACCACGCAAGCCAAAGTTTCGGGTTTTGTCTTATCATGGTTATTGGAGAGGTCCCTTCGGGGTTCACCTGATGGCTGCAGTTTAAACCCAAATTTGCGAGAAGAGAATGTTGGTTAAAAGACTGATACGCGGTAAAGTCTATAATTCGGGATAAATTCTTCAATATCAGACATGCTTTCGAGATGTTTGCTACATCAAAAAATCCGAGACAACCTCTAAAAATTTCATCAAAAAAAGAAAATTTTTTGCATGCTTTGATAAAAAAGCAACAACAACATTGTTTATTGAAAAAAAAACGTATGTTTGGATGTGTGTTGGTTGCATTGCTTTGTGTTTTGTTTCGTTTAGCTTTCTTGTTGTTTGTTTTGTTATTGGGAAAGTCGGGAATGTCGGGAAAAATTAAATAAATTGAAATTTTATAAATTTAATCTTTTTTTAACACACACTATGGTAAAGGGTATGTACATATAAATAAGATTCGGCAAAGGCGAATATAGCCTTCTCACTTGTTACAATATTAACTGGTGTAGGATATCATATGATCGGCCAAGACCAACAATACATTCTTACTTGTTATACTCCCCCTGGTCGTAAACCATAAAAATCTCTTTAAAAGCAAATTTTCCAAGATGCTGCAGTAATCAAAAACTTGTCAGCTTATTGAATTAAATTAATATTCTTTAATAATAAAACATTATTTATAAATGTTTTTCCAATTTAAATTTATTGTAATATTCATAATAAATTTAATTTTTTTTTATTATAATTGGGATTTTTCTTAATAAACGTTTGATATTTATGATTATCCCAGTTGAAAAAGAACATACAAGTTTTAACAATTTATAATAATATACGAGTAAATCAATTAACTCATATGATTCATCTGATATTAAAACTAATTTTCAATATGTAAATAGACACGTTTTGCAACATGTGATATTTAACTATAAGAATAAAAAAGGGAATTTTATTTTCTACTATCTTAAAGAAATAAAATAGCCATATGGAACTTACAGTTAATCTCAAAAATAAGTATACAGAAATACTAACAATTGGTTTTATTTAAAAAAGGATATTATTTTTTCAAAAATCAAAAAAGTAACATATATTTATTTATTTATTAAAAACAATTATGATAATTATTATTCACTACTTTTTTCCGGGTTATTTTGGTTACTTGAGTTCTCATTTAAGGTGTAGTTAAATAGGTACAAAATTTACGTCACAAAAGTAAGTATACAGATAATTTCAATGTGTATTTGGCTTAATGATATTAACAAAATTCATGAAAATTTTACCTGTTTGAATGTAATTATTTTATAATAAAATATTCTGTACACTATAACATGGAAAAAATTCACTTTTTGTTCCGAAAAATTGAAATTTTTGGTAATTGATCTGAATATTATTTATGGGAGCATTTTTTCCTATTTAAGAACATTAAACCCCCGGAGTTTTGGATCGGGTATTCAATAATATCCCTCGTTTGTTCATTATGATGCATTGGAAGACGATATTTTAACTTTTAAATTAATTGTTTCTTTACAATAATTACAATCCATTGCGGAACATTGCCGTTTTTAACATAGTATAGAGTTCATATTCGATATTTAACGGCGATTTCCTAAAATTTATATCTTAAAATGCGATATTAATAATATTTGCACTAGTATCCATTAATTAAAACAAGTTTTTTTGTTCCAATCATCCACACTCCTAAATACTACCAATAATCGTCAAATGGTGACCATGTCAATAACTTACACTACATATCGGTTCTGAAATTGATTATTGTCCAAAATAGTAAGATTTTTATATTAAATCAGGCTCAATTGGTGGTATGAATACCAATTGAACAATTTTGAACACGGATAATTCTTAATTTGTTGCTAGAACAAATAAAATGTCCGATCCATAAAACATGGTTATTGTATCGAGTATATCAAGATATGATTGGTAGCATTATTGTATGCTTTGGAAATTAAATTAAATTAAAGAAAACATATAGAATTATCCAAATTTTAAAGTTTATGTTGTAAGTCTTAAGAAATCGGAGTTAAATTTCGGGTTTTTAAGAACGTACTGTGTTCAAAATGGCCAAATCCATGCATATAACATTAATTTCGAAATAACAACTCTTTTCAAAAGTTAAAAATTATATTTCCAATGCATCATTTGGAGGGTTCAATGACCACCAGATCCACAATCCGGGGTCTAAAGTGGAAAAAAATCGTAGAAATGAGAAAAAACTGTTCTACTAATTAATTCCGGAGCTAATCGGCCCAAATTTCAAGATTTCGGAACTAAAAGTAGATTTTTTCCAAGTTATTGTGTAAAAAATATTTTATTAAAAAGTAATTATATTAATACAAGTAAAATTTTCATAAATTTTGTTAATATCATTAAACCAAATATATACTGAAATGATCTGTATACTTACTTTTGTGACGTAAATTTTTTTTTATCATAATTGTTTTTAATAAATAAATGTGTTACTTTCTTGTTTTTTGAAAAAATAATATGTTTTTTTAAATAAAACCAATCGTCAGTATTTCTGTATACTTATTTTTGTGATTAACTGTATATCAACAGTTATAAAGATCTAGCTAAATGCTCAATATTTTACTTTAATTAATTATTATGTAGTAAAAATTAGTAATAATTTTGTATGTTAAAATTACACAGAAAATTCATTTTTGTTTTGGCGGGAAAAATCATGTTTAACCCTTTCAGGGTCAAAAATAATTTATGTCTAGAAAAAAACTTGAAAACTTATATTTAAGATAATTTGAGTATGCTGAATCCGGGAAAAATAATATTTTTTGAATTTGAGTTTTCCCTAGTGAGTTATAGAAGGTCAAAGTTATATGTCGAATATATTAGACATTCGAAAAACAGTCTCCAAAAAGTACCACCAATATTTTTTATGAATTTTTTTTTGTAAAATGTCTTCTTAAACTTCCTTCAATACAATACAATTTAAATCTGCATAGTCCGATCTCCTTAAATACTATTTTTTTTTTTGTCATTAAATGAAGCTGTTTTTTAAACGTTGTTAAAAAGCACTTTTTAAAAAGTAGTCATAAGTGACAATTTCTTAAAAACTGATTTTTAAATACTTTTGAAATACGGAAGATCTTTCAAAATCTCAATTATAAATATAATAAAGTCTTCATTTTCATCTAAAAGAAAAAAATTAAAACTAAAGTTAAATATTAACCCAAAAAATGCTTAAAAACAGAGTCTATTGTAATGTCGAATATATTCGACACAACCACGGAAAGGGTTAAAACAGATGTCAAATTTATATAGCGATGAAATTTTCTTTTAAAGAATTTAGAAACAAAATATATAGGAATTTGGTGCCTTTATTTATACACACCTTAATTTATTAATTTCGAAATGTACTTTAACGGCGTATAAATTTATATAAATACTTCGATTTTATCAAAAATATTATCTGGAAAATGTTATGATTCAAGCTAACAAAATATTTTTATTATCAAATTAATATAATAATTACAATATGTACTATACTATAAATGTTAAAAAAAATGATTTAAAATAATTGCATGTTACATGTCGTTAACTGATAGGAATTGAAATTAAATTATTTGGTAGAAAATATTAATTAAATAATCAAGGTCATTTTTATTCTCAATTTTATAAAATTTGTACAAAAGTCGAGCAGCTACATATTTCAAAAACTTTTGTCACAAGTCTTTTCTTTCCTCCAGAGATTAACAAGATTGAAAAATAATAGAATCGGTTCAATATTTAATATAGCACCCATAAAAATTAACATACTGCCAGATATGGATTTATTATTAATAACGCCTCCATAATATCGGTATTACCAACAAATTTTGATAAATCTAATACCGAATAAAACCTGGATCGGTCCATAATTGACCATAGCTCCCATATAAGTCTCACTAGGTAGACAGCTTAAGGTTGGCAACGTTAAACAGCGCAAAACTAAGTTTATCTAGAGGAGCTAAGTATTTAGGGACTTTCATTGATAGCAAACTTTTATGGAAAGAAGATACTACTACACATGAAAGACTTCTATAGGAAAAAAGTGGGGTCGGCATCCAGACATGGTAAATTGGATTTATACATCGGTTTTTAGGCCTATTCTAACTTATTGTTATTGTTACTACAGTTCTACTATGGCCAATAGTTCAATTCTGAAATTAGTAATTGAAGTAATTGAAAATGATTTGAATTAGTGTTAGTGGGTAAAGAGGTGGCTGAAGAAAATGTGCCACCACAGTCGATCTTAATCATAGGTCTTTGGGTTGCAAATTTATAAAGTGCCAGGAACGATTTGTTGACGTAAGCAGTTGAGGAAATTGCACCAACCGGATCTCAATTGTGCTAGGATTGTTCTTGAATGACTGGGTAATTGTCTCTCACAATCCGAGATCGCAGGGTAGTGTTCATTTAGGACTATGTTGCATCTGTAGCCGTTAATGGCTTCAATGACTGCCATTTGATACAACATTTCCAGGGCGCTTGCAATTCTGTCTGTCG